TTAATCAACCCCTTCCTATGGACCTGCAGTCTGTAGGTATCCTGGAAGAGCTCCCAAGATGTAATCATCGTCATCATGATAGCTAACATTTCTATAGCACCTACTATGTGCCAGGCCCTGTGCTATGCACTTTACAACAACCCTGGGAGGTAGGTGCTCTTATTAGCTCCATTTTACAGATAAGGAAACTGAGGCAAATGGAAGTTTAGTGACTTGCCCAAGGTCATAGATAGTGAGTGTCTGAGGCTAAATTTGAACTCAAGTCTTCCTGATTCCAAGACCTACACTCTCTCCACTGCTACTCCTAGCAGCCTCCTAGCTCCTCTATAAGTACAGAGCTTGGGGTAATAGAACACAGGGATACATTGATTGACTTGAGTTGTGGATCAACTGGGGATGAATCCATTGGCTTAGCTCTTTGTAGGTCAGATCCACCCTTTTGTGCTGGGACTACGAAAAGAGGTGAGAGTCTTCCTGACTTCAGGTCTACTACTCTTTTCACAGCTGCCTCTTCATTAAGCAACTACTATGTATAACAACATACATAGTATGTATCCAGTTATTAAGCAACTACCATGTATTTGTTACATGGTAGTTTTTGCTTAATAACTGTTTGTTAAACTGAAAAAAAAAAAAGAAAGAAAAAAGGAGACATGGGTGCAGAATTATTCTTTTTTTGTGGAGATCCTGAGAGAGCTGAGTACAAACTGGAGAACTCCAGTACTGCTGAATGGATCTGCCTCCTGAAGAGTCTGGAAGAAGACTGTCCAGCAATGTAGCTTCCACCATAGGAAACCTCTAACAGCAGCTTTGAAGCAGAGGCACAATGTGGCCGTATTTGCTCACTCACAAGGCCCAGAGTGTCAGATGTAGTACCAGACACAAGCCACATAGAGACAGTGGTAGAATGTCTTAAAGCCAGAGAGAATACGCATGGAAAGGGCATCCATGTACCTGAGTTGTGGGAACTCCTGTATCCCAGCTTTTGGGAGGAATGTTAAAATTCGTGGACTGATGATTTTCACATGGCCCTGAATTTTGGAATATCAGCAAAGGACTAAGCCATGATTTGAAGCAAAAAACTTAGACTTTGTCCTTCACTATTACTGTGAGTTATTTGATTGATGCAAGTCAGATGGAAAATGGGGTTGCCACCTTAACAACCCCAGTTTGTTCCCTTCTGGGAAGACAGAAAGAAGCTCAGGAAGAAAACTTAGGGACTGTTTAGTGCAAGCCCCTGATAAGTGTTAATAGATGAGATATAGGTCCTTGACTTAGAGCAGTTTGAAGGTAAGCTTTGGTATTTCCTTATATATAAGAAGGAATGTTACTCCTTCACATGGGCTTTGAAGTGTCTATTAATTTTTCCTCAACTCTATGGGTTAATGGGGTCAAAGGCCAAACTAATCAGTCCTTGGCCTTGGATCTGTAAAAGGACATTCCTATCTGCCTGTGTTCATGATAGGAAGGGAGAGACCTTCCTCTCTATCCAAGTCCAGGATGAGAGAGGGAAACTTTATTTTTTTTTATAATATTTTTTATTATTTTCCTCCAATTACATGTTAACATTTGTCTTTTTAAGTTTTGAGTTCCAAATTCTATCCCTCCTTCTCTCTCTCCCCTCCCTCCTCCCTGAAATGGTAAGCAATCTGACATAGGTTATACATGTGCAATTGTATAAAACGTTTCCATATTAGTCATTTTGTACAAGAAGACTTAAAAAAAGAAAGAAAGAAAGTGAAAAATAGTGTGCTTCAGTCTGTGCTTAGACAATATCAGTTCTTTCTCTGGAGGCAGATAGCATGTTTTATCATGAGTCCTTAGGGATTGTCTTGAATCATTGTATTGCTAAGAATAGCTAAGTCATTCACAGTTCTTCATTGTGCAATATTGCTGTTACTGTGTACAATGTTCTCCTGGTCCTGCCCACTTCCCTTTGCATCAGTTCATGTAAGTCTTTCCAGGCTTTTCTGAAATCATCCTGGTTGCCATTTCTCATAACACAATACTATTCTATCACAATAATATACTACTACTTGTTCAGCCATTCCCCAATTGATGGGCATCCCCTCTATTTCTAATTCTTAGCCACCACAAGAAGAGCTTCTGTAAATATTTTTTTTACGGGTAGGTCTTTTTCCTTTTTTTTTTATGAGAGAGGAACTTTAAATGGGTATTTAATTTATGACTTTTATTAAACAACTGAGGCATTCAGAGGCCTGATCAGTCTTGGGAATTCAAGGACAATGATTAACAAAAAGCCACTGGGGCACTAGAAAAAACAAGAATATCAAGACAGATATCCCTCATTCATGAGGAGCTCTCAAGCTAATGGGGCAGACGACATACAAACAAGGAAAGGCTGAATGATTATTTTGAAGGTATGTGGGGATTATTGTTCACATATGTATTGTGCTAGATGGTCTCTGGGGTACCTTCTAACTATGAGATTCTGTAATAACTTCCACACCATGAGGAGGCATCAAAGCATTATGTTAACAAACAGAACAGGACAGAGATTTTTAAAGGGCGGATAAGAGAAATGAGCATGGTGTCAAGAAATCCAAATGGGGAAAATGGAGATGGAGGCAGGAGGGACAGTCCCTCTGAGAAAGGGTCAGTCAACTTTTGTCTACCCAGAGTGTGGGGAGGAAGATGGCTCCTCAAGAGGCACAGTGATAGGAAGTTGGAAGTATGTGGGACCCATGGGACAGTGGTTGTGCCCTGTGGCAGCTTGCTTGGCAATTCTAAGAGGTAGTGTTTGGTGACAGCTTCTCCTAGGGAGGAAGTGTGCCATCCCTATATTGGCATCCTAGGGCAAAGCCCTGCTAGTTCCAGACTAGTTACACCTTTGCTGGGAACCAAACCTCTGTCTTTTGCAGAAGTCCCTGAAGGAGGCACTGTAGTCTAACAGAGGGGCTTTGCTCAGGGACCATTATGTACCAGATTCATTTAATCCATTTTTGGGGTTCTGCTGCTGGGACAAATAATTCCTTTTTGGTTATATTTCCCTAACCTGTATATTCCACTGGCTTTTCTTAGTCACAGGAAAGCTGCCCAGGTCCTACATCTTGTACAGTAAACCTTTAGTTCCAGATACATCAGCTTGATTTTTACCCCTATGTAAAGAATTATTGGTTGGAATTTTGAAGCCAATAAAACAGTTCAGGTTAGAGGTAGAGGAGGACCAGAGTTAGGAGAATAGTGATGAAATTAAAAGAAGTCTTGGTAGACCACATCTTGGAAAACTCCACTCCAACCTGAAAAAGTTGTTTTTGTCTTTGTGGGATAGGAATTGGGAAGTGAATAGAATGTGTCACTCTGATACACTTATCTATTGCTTTGATTTTTTTTTTACTATACTTTCTTATTTTTCTTAATAGTATTTTATTTTTTTCCAAGTATATGTAAAGATAGTTTTCAACATTAATTTTTATAAGATTTTGAGTTCCAAAATTTCTTCTCCTTCCTCCCTCCCCAAGATGGCACACAACTTGATATAGGCTATATATGTACAATCATATTAAACATATTTCCACATGAATCATGTTGTGAAAGAAGCAGAACAAAAGGGAAAAACCACGAGAAAAAAAGAAAGAGAAAATAGTATTCTTCGATCTGCATTCAGACTCCATAGTTCTTTCTCTGGATGTGGATAGCATATTCCATCTTGAGTCTTTTGGAATTGTCTTAGATCATTGTATTGCTGAGAAGAGCTAAGTATCAGAGTTAGTCATTGCACGGTGCTGCTGTTACTATGTATAATGTTCTCCTGGTTCTGCTCACTTCACTCAGCATCAGTTCATGTCTTTCCAGATTTTTCTGAAATATGCCTGCTCATTATTTCTTATAGAACAATAGTTTTACTATACTTTCACATAATCTAATTAAGTTGATCAACTAAGAAGAAAAGTTATTAGTTGGCCTCTGCTTAGACAGATGTAACCTCAGCTAGAACAATACAAGGTTCTCCCACTCCTAAGTATTTAGAAACAATAACAATAACAAATCCCAATAAATCAGTATTCCTCTTGGGCCAATGATATTTCCACCCTTGGAGGTAGGAAACAACTCTAGGAAAAAGCTTAGCACTCTCCCTGGTAAGGATTCCTTCTATGAAGGAGGGTGGAAAGTTTGGAAAGGGGTCAACGGCTAAGTTCAATGACCAGGCCTCAGAGGTCTAGTGTAAAGAATTACCAAAACCAGGAAGGAAGAAGAAGAAAAGGAGTAGGAAGAAAGAAAGGGAGGGAGGGAGGGAGAATGGAGCAAAGGAGGAAAAAGAAGGAAGGAAGAAGACAAGTTTCAATTAGAAGCCTCCTAACATGTTAGCGGGGCGGGGGCAGAGGTTCTTATGGGAGGGATTCATATCTATTGCTCCTCATCTGTTTCTAAGTAGAGTCTAGAGACCTTTCTGGACTATGATTGCAGTGTCGTATCCTTCCTATCCTCCCACCTCCAGTTTAGGTTGGGAAGAACTGCAAAAAGAAGAGTTTTCCTTTCACTGGACCTGATATCAGCATCAGTTCTCAGAAACTGTGTCAGAGTCAAAGTAGGGAGCTGGTGTCTGATGCCAGAAACCTTTGGGAGGTTACCATAGTACCATAATACAGCCATAATATTCTTCTCTCACTTCAGAGAATAGGAGAGGCAGGGACTGGCAAGTGTACCTGAAGGTTTAGGGCGAGGAAAACGCATTTGTCCTAAATCTTGTGCAGAGTCCCACAGAAGGTGCTTGTGGCTCCTTTGGGCTGTGTTTCCCCCCAACAATTAGCAGAACTCAGGGGCTCTCAGCCAGGAGAGCGGTGGGTGGGTGTGTGTGTGTGTACTCAGAGGAAGCTGATGAACAGTCCAAGAGTCTTTCCTGGGACTTGGGGAGCTGCAGGTGGGTCAGGGGTAAAAGCTAGTTAACACTCCATATCCTGAAATCAGACTGTCGTCTAGCTCCGGGGTCAGGTCAAGGGAGTCGGGGTAGGGGGGGTGCCCTCTAAAACTCAGCTGTGCTTCTCACAGATCTCGGAATCTTCTAATCCCTGGACGCCTATAAGGCTGCAGCTGCGCAGGGGCACGGGATCTCGGAGGCGACTTCCTGTTGTGTGCACGATCCCAGCCCCCATCGCTGGTTCCCAGCAACCAGTGCAAGCTGCAGAGCCTGCCTGCCTTCCCCAGGGCCAGAGGGAATCACTCTCCCCCTCTCCCTCTCTTCCTGCAGGCATCCCGTCCCCCACTGCCCTTACATAGGTGAGTCCTAGGGGGTTGGTGGGGGAAGGTCGCCTGGGACCTGAGACAGGTGAGGGCTGGGCTAGGTAGGATGCCAGACTGGCAACCTGAGTGAGGTCAAGGTCAGGAGCTGGGAGGGGCCAACATGTGGGTGTGAAAGAGGAGAAAAAGGATGAACGGGATGCCTCCACTTTGGGAAGATCTAGAGTGAAGCAGGCACTATACCGGGATCTTACCCTATGATCTAAGGGATAATCCTAGAATGTTAGGGCTGGAAGGAGCCCCCTGCAGGATGTGTAGTCCAATCTCATTTTACAGGTTGGGCAGAGAGGCCAAGTCACTCACCTATGGTCACACACTTAATAAGAAGAAAAGGCAGGATTTAAACCCTGATTCCTTGACCCTAAATCCTCTGATCTTGCCACTGATCTCCCCACACTGCTGCTAGTGAGAGGACAGGATGTTAAGCCTGGATCAAAAGGTTGTAGTTCTTTCTTCATTTTTTTTTTTTGAAGGACAAGGAGGAAAGAAGATGTCTAAACACACTCAGCTTAAATCTACAAACACTTCAGTGCCTACTATGGTCCAGGTGCTGGTGGACCCTGAGGATCTTCATTTCCCATCTTTCTTCCTTTTGACCCTGACCTCCCCCCTACTAGGAAATATTGGGTTCTTATTTCAACTTCAGCCTTCTGTAATTAAACTTTGTCCACTTAGGCTAGTCTGGGATTTGTAGCTCTTAATTTAGTGATGGAACAAGAAAATATTCTACAATATTCTTCTTATTATTATCATCAATAATGATGCATATTTCCATAATGCTTTATAATTTATGAAACCCTTTCCTTTTAACATCCTTAGGTAGTATAGGTATCATTGTGCCTATTTTATAGTTGAGGTTGGTCAGACCAAGAGAAGTTAAATTATTTACCCACAATCACATAGCTAATAAGTGTCTTGGCAAAGACTTGAACACACCTTTGGCTGGAAGTATGGTACTTTGGCTACTATCTCACATTGCTTCTTGAAGGGAAGACACATTCAGAAGACTGTGTGTGTGTAGGTAGCTCAGGAAGGGGTTAGGAATATCCCTTTCTGACCGGGAACGTATTTGAGTATCTAAAAGGAACTCCTTTTGCTTGCAGTAACCTGGGGAATTAGACAGACGAGCATGTCCCTGCCGACCCCCTCTGCTTCTTGCCTTTTCAAGGATCCTGGTCAGAAGCTGGAGCAGTTGGGACACAAGAGGGAAGAAGGACACAACAAGCAACTGGAGTGAAGTCACCATCAGGTTTAGAAGACAACTGCAAACCGTGGAGAATCCCTGGTTCCCTGGGATAAAGAGAGAATTCCCCAGGTAAGAAATAATGACAGGACTGAGGCAAGTGGACTGGAACTTCCTGTCCAGATTCCTTGGACTGATAGAAGTATTAAAACTACTAAAATTGTAGAATGTTAGAGCTAGAAGGGCCCTTCAAAGTCATCTGATCCAGCCCCCTCATTTTATAGGGGAGGAAGTTGGAGGATAGGGACATTAAGTGACATGTCCCAAGATCACAAAGGTAGTGAGTAGCAGAGTCCTTTGACTATGATCTAATATCATTTTTACTGTCCTACAATAAGACTGATATTTTCAGGGGAAGGAGAGAGCTATAGATACAGGGCGAGGAAAAAATCTATTAAATCAACCATCAATTTCAACAAAAGCTTTGATTTTTTTAAGTGAGTTCCCAATCAGAGAGAGGAAGCCTAGAAAAATAGCAGATAGGTATATTTGTTTCCTTAAAGTAGGATGCTTTCTCTCTTCCATGTAGTGCCAAGAGAATTTGGTAAAAACAGCATTCTTCTCTCCCACCTTTTTCTCTCTGCCTCTAGACCCCACCTTAGAGTATGACCCTTCCAAGATCAGGGATCATGTTGGTGTTTTCTTTCTGTATCCCAGGGCCTGTATTAAGATCTGCATGTTGTGGCAAATTGACACATGATTAAAAATAAAGGAATGACAAATCTGAATCTTAATGTCCAATAGACTCAATGGTTCTCTGCTAAAGTCCTTCTCTGATGCTTCATCACAGCTCAGTGTTGATGTTATGCTACGTCCTTGAAGGCTATATTATTTATCTGAGTGTAAGCTCTGATAGTTTCTATAAAGTTAGAAAAAAATTTTGAGTAGGGACATGGTGATGGTCTGTGTGTGTTTCTTATTCAAGAATCAACCCAGCTAAGTTCCAAGACTCATCTCTAAAAGACTGACTACTGGGTAATGATTGTTTTTTGTCTCCACTCATAAATTTGTTGTTGTTCAGTCATTTTTTGTCACGTCTGACTCTTCATGACCCCATTTGAGGTTTTCTTGGCAAAGATACTGGAGGGGTTTGCCATTTCCTTCTCCAGCTCATTTTACAGATGAGGAAACTCAGGCAAACAGTGCAAGCTGCAGAGCCTGCTTGCCTTCCCCAGGGCCAGAGGGTCACACAGCTAGTAAGTATCTGAGGCCCAACCCATTCTAATGAGATTGGAAAGATGGATTGGGGCAAGTGCTTTAAAACCTAGAGGTATTTCTATTTTATCTTAGAGGCCATAGGAAGTCAATAGAGTTGGTTGAATAAAGGAGTCACATGGTCACATTTATGCTTAATGAAAATTACTTTGGCATCATTGTGTAAGATGGACTAGGACGATGAGAAATTCATTAGGAGGCTGTTGCAATAATTCAGATGTGAGGTAATAAGAACTTTTTTGGGAATATGTTTCCCATCGCCTGGTCTTGTGGTGACTGGAGTTTTTTCTAGGTTCCAGGCACTGTGCAAAGACAAGAAGTACTTTCAGGGAAGATGGTGCCCTTGGGAGTAGCACAAAAGTCATCAGCCTTCAAGTCAGAGTCAAAAGAATGCCAGTCTGAGGTGTTATGCCAGGAAGAGGGGATGCAGAGCCCATTACCGAGACAAGAGATACTGAATTGCCAAGTTAAGGAGCAGCCCCAGTTTATGCCAGACAGAGGTAAAACACAGAACCAAAGGGAGAGGAATTGGGGATAGATTATGGACAGGTCAGAGGGCCTTGGCATAGAGAGAAGAAAGGTGAGTGGGGTGGGGTGGGGTGGGGTGGGGGAAGATAAGCTGGGATTCTAGAGGTGTGACTCCGTACCTGCTGCATATAGCAAGTCCTTATGTGGAGTCAGATACCTGATGATTGTTTCTAAAGCTTAGATAAACAGTAGGCAATCCTCTCATGTTTGGGATGAGAAGTGATAGATCCTACTCCTACTTTTGACGAATAAGGAAGCAGAAAGACAGAGCTGGTCTCCCTAAGGGCTCCTTTCTTCTCCCTCAGCTCTTCCCATTCCACAGATTCCTATTTTTCCCCAAAGGGGGAGCACCAGAGATCAGGAAATGGCAGCTGCACTTCTTACTGCTTGGTCCCAGGTGAGCATATTTGTTGTCTCTGTCTTTGTCTTCCTCCCTACATCCTTCTTCCTTCATCCTGTACAGTTGCAGAGGCCAGTGGCCCACTCTAGCTCCTGATGCTCATACAGACATGCTGGCACAGTCACCTCCTGAACTCTCTCTGCAGGGTCCCTAGGTCCATACTTAGGTAATTGCTCTAGCTAGGCCAGAAGCCAAGGGACCTGGAGAGAGCTCTGATGTCAGCTTCTGTTCGGCCCTAGGTTCAGGGAGGCTCCAGAGCCAGAGGGGCTCTCTGTCTGGGACCAGATCCCCTGAGAGGGAATCAGAATTAAAAAGCATTTCTTACAATTTTTAGTTAGTATGAGACCCTGAAACTGAACTTTCTTTTCTGCCCAGGGTCACACAGCTAGTACGTGTTAATGTGTCTGAGGTGGGATTTGAACTCAGGTCCTCCTGAATCCAGGGCCGGTGCTCTAACCACTGCGCCACCTAGCTGCCCCTGAAACTGGACTTTCTACCATGAGTGTTAGGATCTTGAGAGGAGTATGAGTATCACCCTCCATCTTTTAGGGACAGATTGATTGAAAGAAAGGAGTACAATTCTCTCTGCCTCTCCTCTTCTCCCTTACACACCTCCTTTGCCCTTGACGTGTCTAGTCCAGATATTGTCATTTTCAATCTAAAATACAATACAAATGTTGGGGCTTGCATAGTAGTAATGGATTATCAGTAGTACATTCTCCCAGGTCTGGAAAGGTCTTCAGAGGTCATCTTGAGGTAGGAACATATCTGCCCAGGTTCAGTCAGATATCTGGCTTAACAGGGAACCTTGGTGCTCAGGAAAGGCTTAGTTTAACTCAGGTAAGGGAAGTGTTGAGGTTCAAGAAGATATGAGTGTGGGAGCCCAAAGCAGATGGGTAGATAGGGGCAGCTAGGGTTGGATACAACCAGAATAGTTGCTATGCCTTGTGCACGATGGTCTTTGGGCCGTAGGACGAGGAGGAAGGGAGTTCAATATTAGCCTACCTTGGCACTCCCAACTTCAGCTTTCCAGGCACTTCTAACTGATATGTGAGAAGGCTCGGTTTTGCTCCATCAGAGCAGCATGATGGCCTACCCATACAGGGGCTAGGAACTTGTACCTTCAAGATTCAAGCAATGGATTTACATGACACCCATACTGAAACAGCACATTCAGTAGGGAAACCCAGGGGAGCCCAACTATTGGAACAGTCTTGAGATAGGCCAGCATTAGGATTTATACAGATGGATGGAATCTTGATCAGGAAAAGCTGATGTTTTCAATTCTGATATCACAGGTAGAACCAGTTATGAAGGTGCTTTGGGGGCATGGAAGTTGTTAACATGGAAAACTCCAGGCGTAGAAAAGGGGTGGGGCACCAAGCTGGAGGAGGACACAGATCTAAAGGCCTGAAAAAGCAAAGGGTTTTGTTTTTTTTTTAAACAACCAGGGAAGCTTATATATGTTCTTGACTTGCCCTTACTGGAGATGAAACATAATAGGTTGCTACTTTATCTCTGATATATAATTCATATACTATATATTAACTGGTAACTACATATTAAATTGGTAACTATATATTAAAATCCTGAAACTCATGTTTTAAAGTCATCCCTTAGCCTCTTCTTCCTTAGGGTAACCTAGTTATCATTTGTCCTCCAGCTCTGCTTTCTGGATTTTTCAAGTCACTTTTGTTGTAGAATTACAAACTTCTTGTCTTGTGGGTCCCTGACTCTTGCTTGTGGAGACTAAGAGCTGGATTGTCATATTTTTCCAGATGCCAGTGACTTTGGAGGATGTGGCCGTATACCTTTCAAAGGAGGAGTGGAGGCAGCCAGACCTTGTTCAGAGGGACCTCCACAGAGATATCGTGCAGGAGAAAAATGACCTGGCCTTAGGTGAAGATCCAATTGCTTATGGTTTCTATGCTGGGAGTGGCCTCTAAAGTGCCCCGTGCCCCTGACGTTTGGGGAGTTTAAACTCTGATGCATATAACTCATGACTTCGCCACTCCATCCCTCTCCTCCCACTGATACATCCTTCTATTGAAACTTATATTTTATACCCTGAGTCTGTGACCACCTACTGATGCCCATTTGGTAGGTCTCTATTTCTTGGGATTTTCCTCCATACTTACTCTGTCCCTGAATTATTCTTCTTCTTCTTCTTCTTCTTTTTTTTTTTTTTTAGGCAATTGGGGTTAAGTGACTTGCCCAGGGTCACACAGCTAGTAAGTGTCAAGTGTTTGGTCTGAGGCCGGATTTGAACTCAGGCACTCCTGACTTCAGGGCCGGTACTCTATCTACTGCGCCACCTAGCTGCCCCCGCCCTGAATTCTTCTTACAATGCTCTGTTAAATGAAGCAGATGCATAGTTGAGGTAAATGGCTGGTTCCTACCCTTACCGCAGTGTCATCAGCCTTGTCTTCTAGCAGGGAAAATGACACATAAGTAATTGTAATACAAAATACTACCTGCTAAGTGCATAACAGAGGAACAGCTAGTTAGTGGTTGTCCTTTGTGCTCACAGAGGACCAGAATGGCGTCACCATGTTGGGATCAAGGCAGAGCAAGTTGACTATGGCTGATCAGACCAGTGGGAGCTTGGAAAGCTCTACCACAGGTTAGGAACAAATAGTCCATATGAACATTTGGAGTGGAGATGTCTCCAAATTGGTGCATCTCATATTTCTTTTGAGCTACCACAATTCTGCTTTGCTCACAGAACATAGCACCTTCTTTAATGCAGGCACGCCATGCTGGGTGATCCTGTGCCAATGTCTCCCATGTCTCACAATAGACTCCAGAGTTCTTCAGAGAGACCTTGAGAGTGTCCTTGTATCGCTTCTTCTGACCTCCATGTGAGCACTTGTCTTGTGTGAGTTTTCCTTAAAAATCAGAGGAACAGCTAAAGCGTCATTGGAAGTCTGAGGGAACAAAGGTCCTTTCCAAATGAGTGATCAGGGAAAGTATTTCTGGAGGATTTGACAGTTGAGTTAGGCCTTAAAGGATGGGGAGGAATTTAGCTGGGAAAGTTATGAGGAACAGTTCAGACAGAGAATTAGAGATTACAGAAGAATTATAGAAGAGGATTATAGGCAGAGGGAATAGTATAATTAACACATCTGGGCTTTGTCTAGCCATCCTCCTCTCCCCATGTGCCTGCAGAAATATCTCTTGGTTGACTGCCTTATATGTCAGACTAAGTGTGTCTGTGTTTTGACTCTAACCCACATGAGCAAGGGGACCTTCAGGGCAGATGTTGATGTTGAATGTTTCCAGTGGCTGTTTAGGGGTTATCGAAATAGAGAGCGTCTGCCCTATAAGTGCTAGGCCTGGTACCTGGGGCACCATGCCACCACTGGCATTTTTTTGCTTGTCCAAACCAACAGAAGACAATGCACTTTCAGAAACAGTTATTAAGAGTCTACCATCTACACTCTCAATTCTCAGGTCCAGGAGTATAGCTGGCAGCAAATCGGGACAGGGTTTTGAAATGATTTTCAATGACGGTGATTTTGAATTCCCAGCTTCCTTGGCTCCCTAAATGTTGTCTCTTCACATACCCTGACATCCTACAGGCAGACTGTGGCACATCAGTTCTGGGTAGCACATTTTAGGAATGTGCACTGACAAGCTGGAGTATGTCCAGAGGAAGGCAACTGGGATGATGAGGGGACTATATAACACATAACTTGAAAATTAGTTGAAGGAACTTGGGGAACCTGAAGAAGACAAAGAGAAGACATGAGAGCTATCTTCAAAGATCGGAAGGGTAAACACATGAAGGAGGGATTAGCTCAGAGGACAGAACTAGGAGCAAAAGCTGCCGTAAGGTTGATTTCTGCCCAGTGTGAGAATAACAGCCTATAAAAGCTGTCTGCTAGTCAAATGGGTTGCCTTAGGTGAGGCAAGATCCCCCTCATTGGAGGTTTTCAAGCAGAGATCCACGGAGGGTGCTAAAGGTGGATGGGATTAGGTGACTTCCAAAGTCCTAACTCTATAGCTACAGTTCTTAAAATGGTCCATGACCTCTATTGCAGTGGCGTGTCTGGTGCTGGGTATGTTCAACCATGGCTACAATGATGACCAAGCCGTTGTCTCTTTCTGCGGTTTCCCTTCAGCAGAGCTTCCCTGGCACCTCACTTAGAGGGGAAGGGGGAGTCCTCTAGCTCTTGTCACCAAGGAGTACAGGAGAGGCATCTACATGGATAAGGGCTGGGACAAGAGAACTACCAGTTAGAGCTGGAATTTTATGATCCTAGATTAGTAGCCAGGCTGTAGATAGAGTTCTGAACCTGGAGTCAGGAAGACCTGAGTTTAAATCCTGTATCAGCTGGACTTTATTTAATTTCTGTCTGCCTCAGTTTCCTCAATTGTAAAATGGGGATAATAATAGCACCTACCTCCAAGAGTTGTTGGGAGGATCCCATGAGATTATATATGTAAAGTGCTTAGCACAGTGTCTGGCACCTAGTAGGTGCTTAGTAAATGCTTATTCCCTTTCCCTTATTCTCTAAGTTAACATAGCTCCTCCCATTCGTTATAAAAAGAGATAAAGAATAATGGAACCAATACTCCCAGATTTCATTTGTTTTGTGCGGGCCTTTTTTTGTTTTCATTTCCTGCCCCATTTCCTGAGGGTTTAGTTGTGTTGGTGCCCTTCTGCAGAATTTGGTTCCTGATTCTCTGAAGTATCTCTTATATTTTTCTCTTTCCGCTGTATGACTCTAGGCAACTCACTTTCCCTAACTGGGCTTGTTTTCTTTATCAAATGAAGCTGAACTAGATACCTTTCAAAGTTCTTTTCTCCCTTTCAGATCCTTCCTCACCTCAGAACAGAAGTGTCTGCCCTTTAGAACTTAGTGTATTCCCCCATTTTGCTTTCTAAAATCTTTGTCTGATTCTCTCTTTATCCAGAAGCTGTAAAGATTGGAAAAGTAGGGTTTATTCCACTGGAAGCTGCTGGTGATGCAAAGATGCTTGGGACTGGATTGGGAAGAGTCCATGGGGATGTCCCACAAGCCATGGAGCAAGAAGGCAGCAGGGAGAGCTCAGGGGAAAGTCAGCAGCTTAGCGTCCTGAAGAAGAGCCAGAAGAAACTGGTCCTACCTGAAAAAGACCTTAAAAAAACCCTGGACATTCTTGTTCTGAAGAAACCCTGCATCCTTGAGAAATATTACCAAGACAGCAGTGGGGAAGGCTCAGCCCCAGGAGGGAACAAACTTGGACCAGAACCAGAGCTCCTGGCCCCCCAGCTTACCCTTCCCACCAAAAAAACTTACACATGTGAAGAGTGTGGCAAGGGTTTCAGCTGGCATTCTCACCTAGTGACCCACTGGCGTACACACACTGGAGAGAAGCCCTATACATGTACAGACTGTGGCAAGTGCTTCAGCCGAAGCTCCCACCTCATTCAGCACCAGATCATCCACACGGGGGAGAAGCCTTACACCTGCCCTGTCTGCTGGAAAAGCTTCAGCCATCACTCCACACTGATACAGCACCAGCGCATCCACACTGGGGAGAAGCCTTATGTGTGTGACCAGTGTGCCAAGCGCTTCACCCGGCGCTCAGACTTGGTGACCCACCAGGGGACCCACACGGGTGCCAAGCCTCATCGATGCCTGGAGTGTAACAAATGCTTCACCCAGAGCTCAGCCCTGGTCACCCACCAGCGGACCCACACGGGCGTCAAGCCCTACCCCTGTCCTGAGTGCGGCAAGCACTTCAGCCAGCGCTCCAATCTCGCTGCCCACCAGCGCACCCACACAGGGGAAAAGCCCTACTCTTGTAGCAACTGTGGCAAGAGTTTCAGTCACAGCTCCCACCTCACTGCCCACCAGCAAACTCACCGTGGTGTCCGGCCCTACACCTGTCCCCTGTGCGGCAAGAGCTTCAGCCGTCGTTCTAACCTTTTTCGACATCAGAAGATTCACGCTGGCCCTAAGGCTCTGGCTGTGCTGATGCTGGGGGCAGTGGGGACTCTCACCAGGCCTCACACTGCTCCCCCCTAAAAGGCCAGGAGATGAATGGTGTGAGGATATGGAATCCAGGGCCAGTGCTGATGAGCCTAGCTGCAGGATAGGCCTAATTCAAAGACCAGAAGCAGTGAGAGAGGGAAGACAGATGAGAAAGAGGATGGGGATATGGAGTCAGAAAGGGAGAGGGGTGGGCTATTGTGGGATAAGGGTGGGAGTTGACAGGGTGGAGTTGGGAGTAGGAATGTGAGAAGAGCTAGGAGCTACAAAAAGCAAGCACTTCTAATTAAAGGCCTTTGAAACCAGTGTATGACCCCAACCAATGTGGCCCCAAGCCCACTGTTAAGCTTGGAAGATAAAAAGATGCATTTTGGGGCTGACATGGCACCAGGGCTGACCTGAAATCATGCCCTCTGCAACCATTCTCTCTCAAAGCACAGTCACTCTCTTCTCCTCCATTCAAACCTGGACTCTTTCCTTTTTAGCCAAAGGCACATCTCAGTAAGGCCTAGTAATGTTATCATGCATCTGTCTTTAAGCAAGACAAGACAGTCCTGCAAAAATAGACAGGCATAGTCTTTGGGATGAGAGATACCAAATACCCTAGCTATTCCCCTAAGATACATTCATCAACTGGGAAAAAAATCCTCTCTTCTCCCTCCCCCCACTGCCCCAACTCAATGCTATGCCATCACCTACCTGGGTGTCTCCTTCCTGCCCCAAACAGCATGGGCATCAACATTTCTGGATCTCTGGAAGCACCATTCTCTGTGCCTCAATGGTTATCTATCCTGTTTTCCCCACCAACTACAGCAAAATCCAGAGACAAGGAGATAATAGCTCACATTTCCATATGTCTTTAAGGTTTACAAGTTCACTCATCTCATAGCTAGGTAATACAGTCATTATTATCCTTGTTTGTCTGTTTTTTGGCTAGGCAATGGGGTTAAGTGACTCGCCCAGGGTCACACAGCTAGTAAGTGTTATGTGTCTGAGGCTGGATTTGATCTCAGGTCCTCCTGAATCCAGGGCCAGTGCTCCATCCACTGTGCCACCTAGCTGCCCCTACCCTTGTTTTACAGATGAAGAAAATTCAGGACTTATTTACCCCCAGTCAAATAGCTAATATTGCATTCAGGACTCCAAGGGAAATCTTCTGACTATCCTCTGTACTGTCCACTGCACTAGAGTGCCTCATACAGAGATCTCAGATGTAGTCCCCTATCCTTTCTCAGTCTTCTCTTACTGTTGCTTTCCCCCCCCCCAATGTGTCTGCCCTCTGCTGTCCAGACAGAGAATTACGCTGGGGGTGAAATTCTGAGAAAAGTCTGTACCTTGGACAGCAGCATCTGCTTTACAGGGTCTAGGCCCCAGAAAAGTGGGTCATCCTTAGGATACAGAGTTTCTTCTGCTTCCCCTTTTGCTTCTCATTCTCAGTTGGTTTTCCCTGTTTCTGGAGAACCTCTCCCTCTCAAACGTGGAAAAAAACCAATGTTTTTAGTTGGGGGGATAATACAGGAAGGAAAAGAGCATGGAACTTGGTGCTCAAACCATGCTTTGACTCCTGCCTCCTTTATTTACTAGCAGCAGGACCTTGGGTAAGACATTTTATATTTTTAAACTTGTGTTTGTATGTAAAATGGAGGCAACATTTACAGTACCTGGTGCACTGGTATGCTATTAGGAAAGTAATATATACATGTGTACATCTATGTGCATATGTGTCATATGACTAGATATACACACATGTGCATATATACATATATACGTGTTGTATACACACACATCTATGTATTGTCTAGCCCTGTAATCTCATCAATATAGGGAACTCTCAGAGAGGAAACTTCCTTTACTAATGCAGATAGACACCTATTCTGTAATTTACAGCTTTGGAGAATTTCATAAAGCACTGACAGGTTAAGTACACAGCCAGGGTCACACAGCCACTCACCATTTCAGAGGCAAAATTTAAACTTAAACCCTGTTCTCATTTATAATCTTAAAGTGAAATTGAGTTACACTGAGTTATCTGGCAGATTCCTGACCTTTTTTATTTTATAAGATCTTAATCAGAGATCACCATGCAAAATGACTTGAATACATGTTAGAATTTGCCAGGGAGAATGAGGACAGGAGAGCCACAAAAATGAAGAGGAAGTTTAAAAATAATAGCAACAATAGAAATAGCTAAGATTTATATAATGCTGACTATGTGCCAGGTACTGTGCTAATAACTTAGAGGCCATTGGAAAAGAATGGGTCCAGGCTGGGCAATTCCCATTCTTCTCTGCTGGTGTTGCTAAGCTAACTGCAACTATATCCTGGAGATAGATTTATGTGACCTGAAATACCCCTCATGTCCCTCGAGGTCTTGGCTCAAAGGGTGCGGTACTGATAGTTCTGAGAGGTCAAGGTGTTGCCAGCTATGCAGTCTTGGGCAAGACATTTATTATCTCTGGACTTCAGGTTCCTTCTCTGTAAATGATGAAGCTGGACTATGTGATCTCTGAGGTCCTTTCCAGTCCTAACATTGTATGTGTATATAATATTTATGTTTATTGTTTTATTGATGTCTTTTGCCATTCATTTCTTAGTATTTCTCCCCTCCCACCAAGTCAACAAGCATTTATCAAGCTCCTATGAGCCAGGCACTGTGCTAAGCACCAGGAACGAAAAGAAAGTAAAAAAACAAAAAAGTTCCTGATCTCAAGGCGTTCACGGTGTAAGAGGGGAGACCACATGCAAACAACTATGTACAAACAAGACACACACAAGATAAATCAGAGATGGGTAACAGAGGGAAGGCACTAGTATTGAGGGGGATGAGAAAGGCTTCCTGTAGAAGGTAGGACTTTAGCTGGGAGAAGAGGGCTCAGGACAAATAGGCTGTCCCTTGTTGCAAAGAAAAAAGTTTAAGTAAATCCAAGCAGCAAAGCAATAGTATCCGATTCCAAAGTTTGTCCCTCCACAGAGACTCCCTGCCTGTCTGCTGAGAAAGGAAGGTGTCCTGACATCCTGTATTCTAAGGTCCCTTACAAATCTGACCTTTTAAGTTTTAATGTCCCTTTCTCTACAGTCTCTTCCAGCTCTAGCTTCACATATAACTCTAGGTGTCTATTAGAGTGGTAGCAGCCTTAAAGGGAGGCAATCCTGCTTCAAAACTCCCTGAATGGGAGACTGCCCCACTGGCCATGTGCATAGATGCCTATAAGGCAGCACTGCTATCTAGTCTGCATTTTACGAGTGAATCCCTGATTCTCAGAATGGAGCAAATAACGATGTATTTTACTGATTAATGCAGGATATCCTGTCATCTGGAACACTTCAGTAGGGGAGGGGGGAATCATCTTTCTTGAAAAAAATAGGACCACAGGTTTTAATAGAGTGTTAACATTATTGGCTACGGCAAAAATCATTCTCTCTCTATCCTCTTTACCTTGTGAGACAGTTCTTCCATTCCACCTATAGATCATATAAGAGATTCTTACTCTTCTTCTCACCCCACCCCCCCAACACCAACTCATTTTTTTTATGCCAGATACATCCCTCTTATTCTATTTCTATCTCTGAGGCAGCTAAGTGTTGCAATGGATAGAACCAAAATGACAAGTCCAAATCTGACCTCAGACACTTATTAGTTGTGTGACTCTGGGTAAGCCATTTAACCTCTGTCTGCCTCAGTTTCCTTAAGTGTAAAATGGGGATAATAATAGCACCTATCTCATAAGGTTATAATGAGGATCAAATGAGATAATATGTGTAAAATGAGAGCTGGACTAGCTTTTGAAGTCAATGCCAGTGGTGGATCTATGATACTATGAAGAAGGCAGGCTTTCTTATCCACCATGCTGGGCTCTCTTTCCACAAGGTAATTATGAAGCTCACAGGGGAAAAAATGTGTATAAAGTGCTTTGCAAACCTTAACATGTTCTGTGTGTGTGTATGTTTTGTCCTTCATTCTCAAAGATGACCATGACATCAGGAAGATGATGCCATGACTTGCAAGTGAATTGGTTTTAAGTGAAGGAGGATTGTGCAGAGTCACCAGCCTCACTCTCCTCTGGAGCCATCTGGGTCCAGTGGCAAGATAAACATCAGGACAACCAGAGATGGCCCAGGAATATGCTATACAAGTTCTAACTATAATAAGAATCATTATAATCATCTCAATCTGGTCAGTTTCCCCACTGTGGATCTGAATCTCTTCTTCCCTTGGGATTTCTAATATTTCTAATAATAAGAAATAGAGAAATTTCTAAATGTTGCCTTTCGACTCCTCTTCTTCAGACTCAATCTCTCTAGGCTCCAACCTACTTGTCTAAGGTAGCATGGTGTTATCAGATTTCAAGCTCAGCTGCCTTCACAGGACATAGTATAGTGCATAAAGCACTTGGAGTTGGAGTCAGGTGATAGGACATAGGATCTAGAGCTGGAAGGAATCTGAGAAATAATTTCATCCAACAACTACATTTTACAGATGAAGAAACTGAGACCCAGAGGGGTTAAACAATTTGCTCTTACTATCTTGCCACAGATAGTAAGGAACAGTCAAGACTGAAACCAAGGTGTTTTGCCTCCAAAGCCAGTTTTACTAAATCACATAGCTTCTCCAGTCCTGTTTCCACCAACCATTATTGTAACTATGGGCAGACCTGAGGGGGTCCAAAGGTACAGTTCAGATTTGTGGGACTGGGAAAAGATGGTTGGGATAGCTAGGTGGTGCAGTGGACAGGACTAGGTGTGTGACTTTGGGTGAGTCAGTAACTGCCTCCTTCAGTTTCAGTGTAAAATGGGGATAAAAATAGTACCTACTTGCCAGGGTTGTTGTGAGTATCAGATGAGATAATTGTTAAGTGCTTAGCACAATGCTTGGCATACAGTAAGCACTATATGAATGTTACTATTAATTAATATCAGGAAATAGGTAGAGCTTAAGAAGGAAGTGGAATTTCCATAATTCATCTGCCTATAACCCCAAGCATTTAATAATAATAACTCACATTTCTATAGCAGTTTACAAAATGCTTTCTTTACAATAACCCCATGGGGGTAGGTAATGAATGTATTATTATTTCCATTTTACAAATAAGAAAACTGAGGCTTAGAGAGGGAAAATGACTTGCCCACAATTACATAGCTAATAAGTAGACTTCAGATTT